GCCGGGCAGAGTCGCTGCAGCAGACGTCTTGTTGGAGGAAAACATTGCCAGTATCATGGAAGGCACACCTGAGGAAATAGTGAGTACACCGCTTGGAAACTGACAGGAGACGTCCCTCATAGAATTCTACCTTTCAATTGCCCATCTAAAACACGCTTGCCCGGCTCGCTAGCTCAGTTTATTAAAACCTGACTGTGGTGCGACCAGGTGACGAACTCTTTGTGGTCCAGGTTCACTCCCGGGGGTAGGCAGATTTACGGTATCTATCATGGAATCACGGCTGAAGGGTTGTGATATCCATAGTACCAAGTCAAAGGGTTAACAACTCATGGTTTCTAGATATATATATATATATATATATATATATATATATATATATATATATATATATATATATATATATATATATATATATATATATAAAAAAAAAAAAAAAGAACGCTTCTGATTTTTTTGCTTCCTGTTTCACGAAACCCACTTTTGGACGTTTAATTTTTCTTTGCTTTTCTTTTCTTCTGTTAAATCTTGTTTTCCTACTGGATTGCAGCCTGGAAGGTTGAGATCCCTGATTTAATGGAAAGCCAAGAAATACACAAGGATAAGCAGCTGTAATTCAACAGGCTTAGTTCTATGCTATCTAACCAGACTGTGCTCCAGTTAGGAAAATAAAGTACAGAATAGTGTAGCCATTAGAACCGATCAGAAAACGTCTCACCGAAGACATGATCCCTAAGTTAACCTCTTCACACGACAAAAACAGACCATTATGTTTAGATTTCTTACCGGACACAGCATACTCAACAGCCATATCTACGAGAAACTCAAGATTGAGGATGGAGAACTATGCCCATGTGGACAGCCATCACAGAATGCTCAACACATGCTACAGACATACTCTCTACTTGCAGTTGAGAGATCCCAAATTTGGCCGGTTTGCATACCAATAGAAACCATGTTGTATTAACCAGTGAAAGACCTGCGTCACACCACAGACTTCAGAGCAGCCTCATCTAAAAACAACTAGCAGGGGAGAACAAAAAGAGGAGGAAGATGTTGGGAATCCAACAGGAGTATCTCCCAGAAACCCAATCCAACTGTCTACTATCGTTATAATAGGGTTGCGAATTAACCTGTTTTACTTGTTCACTACCAGACCACAGTTGTTTATTCCACATTCCAACGCTGAGTTCATGCACTGTCGAGTCTGAGAAGATGCACGCCAAATACACCACTTATAAAGTCTGCATTTGCTCTTATAAAACATAAACATAAAACATAAAATATGTCAGAGACAAAACAAACAAATTTGCAGTACATCCGGAGCATCACATGGCAGGGTGAAACATCGCAAGCTAGCGTAGTTTGGGCACAGCGTGAGGCATGATTCGATTGCAGAGACTGTACTTCAAGGAATATTGAAAAGGGATGGGAGGGAGCGGGGTGAAGAAGACAAAGAAAAAACTCAAATGACAACATCAATAAATGAGCAGGACTAAGTTGTCAAAATTTATTCATCAAGCAAAAGACAGAGAAAGATGGCGGATTTGTGTGCTAATGCTTCCATCGATTTACCCCCCCCCCCCCCCACCCCACGACCCTAATCAGCCAAGGGTTATGTTTTGTTATTATGCTGGGCGTCTTCTCAACGCGAACGGGTCTTTGCTAGTGCCAAAACCATGGGCTATAACTCCCATGCCTCCATTTAGCATAGTATAAGATCATCGACTGAACAGAGGTAAAGGTGTCAACAACAGGCACACGATGATTGGGAACACGTAACGTTAGTCTCCCCAGGCCCCGCACCTATACACCCTCACTTCTGATTGGTAAATCCTGGGCCTTGTGGCCTTCGCACAAGGTCAGAGGGGTGTTCCGCGATGCCGCTGATATCGCGTGTTGTATATTTCAGCACGCCAGCGCTTTTAGTGCTCAAAAAACATTGAGAAACTGACCCTAACACAACCCCCCTAGAGAGTGCTGCAACCTATGTCACAGGCAGTCTCTTTCTCGGAATGAAAACGTAAATGCAAGACAACTCAGAAACCAAACAACAGAGCGGGACAAACCAGTAACCTTCAGGAAAGTCGACCAGCCCAACAATCTTGTGAATGAAAAGTGAACTATTTGGAGAGATTAATCTGAACCTAACCGATGATTAAATATATCATTTCCTGTCTTTTCTAGAGGAACACACGTGTTGGACACTTGGCCAAGACACTCTATATGTATCTGTGGTTTTCCCTTTTGCATTTCTTGCCTGGTTGATTGTTCTAGACCAGGGGTTCTCAACCTGTGGGTCGCGACCCTTCTGTGGGTCGAACGACCCTTTCACAGGGGTGGCCAAAGACCATAGGAAAACACATACTCACTGAAGTTATGAAGTAGCAATGAAAATAATTGTATGGTTGGGGATCACCAGAACATGAAGAACACATTAAAGGGACGAGGAATTAGGAAGTTTGAGAACCTCTGTTCTAGACGTTTTGGGCACATACTTATTATTATTATTATATTATTATTATTATTATTATTATTAATACTACTACTATTACTATGAGAAGGTTCAGAGGTGATGTGCTGGAGTCTATTAGTGATTTTTAAACAATTGTGCAGAACAGAAACGGAGCATTGGAGACACAGACGGCCAGCCATATGTGACGTGAACACAACGCTACATTGTTATTATTTTTATTTTTTATTGTTAATAGACACCAGAGGGAAAGAGAAAACAGGGGCGCCCAAAAACAACTTAGAGAAGAACGATGGAAAGTGACCTGAGTGCGGTATCTTTGACATGGAAAACTGCACTGAAGATTGCACAGGACAGGAAAGCATGGAAAGTCCTCTCTGAAGCCTCATGATGATGAATATTACTATTATTATAATTCTCATTTTAGCTATCTCAAGTTTTAAACATTCAGTTGAAACAGTCAAAATTAGTTACTCAGTATAATGTTTCCTTTGTTATTATTATTACTGTTTGGGGTTAATATTTTCTATTTGTGGAGCGACAAGACACGGAACCAAGCACCCCACCTGTTATATCCTCATCTATTTATGCACACACCTCACATTTCTCATCCCAACGTACCTGCTACAGAACCACTCTTTCTATTTCAGACGATCAGGTGTTCCTAAAAGATTGATAATTATATCATCATTATCATGTGCAAAGCCGATAAACATAGGCTGTTATGTCTTGCCATTCCACGCAATAACTATAATTACGGATCGGATCAGTGTTCTTGTCTTGCCCTTTCAGTTTGGCAAAGCCATCACGGTATGTTTCGATTTGCCTCGCCGGTGTCCTTCTTCTCCATTAATTTTACTATTTGTCATCAAATTATCCAATCCATTCCTTCTCATAAGTTGTCCACATAATAATGTTTACGTCTTAATTTCTCTACCACTTTACAGTTTCCATCTGTCTTTAAGGTGACTGTCTTGCTTGTTTTTCCTATGATTTCATATTTTTTTTCTTTCTATCTTGCTGTGATATGTTTTGTTTCTATCATTCAATGATATTTCTTTTTGTCTTACAACCCAAGATTTTCAAGTATTTTCTACGGACGCAATACATTTGCTTAACCAATAGAAAACATAATTTATCACTTGTTTTACATTTCTGAAGAAATCTGGCAGTATCTATCGGCCAGTTCTAAATTACTTTTATCATAGCCCTCACGTACTGACATTTCTTTGCATTACTTTCCGACAAACTACATTCAGGTACCAGTAAGTTCTCCCCCATCCCCTCCCCCCAACCACACTATTTTCCCCCGGCACTCTTTTTGCTTCACACACAGTAGCAACACATTTTCTATATAAAACTTCGCCACGTCATTATTCCATCGAAACTTTGTGTTACCAACAATACTTTTTTCGATACTATTTTCAGAAAAGCGTAATATCTGGAATCGAATCCTTGCTGGATAAAGTAGAGAGGCAGCATGTGGAGTGAGTAATCTTATAGACATCTGTAGAGTCATTTGTGAGGCCCTTTTACTTATGTATACTCTAGAGCTTTGTTTTCTGACCTAATTGGGGACCTTTAGTTTTAAATCTGCATGAAAATGATAGTCTGCACCAAATAAGCCATATCTGTAAAATGGATTTGCATACAAAAATCAAGTTCACTACCGGTAAACGCTAAGAAGAAGAAAAAGAAGAAGAAAAAGAAGAAAGAAGAAGAAAAAGAAGAAAAAGAAGGAAAGAAGAAGAAGAAGAAAAAGAAGGAAAGAAAAAGAAGAAGAAAAGAAGAAGAAGAAGAAGAAGAAGAAGAAGAAGAAGAAGAAGAAGAAGAAGAAGAAGAAGAAGAAGAAGAAGAAGAAGAAGAAAAAGGAGAAGAAGAAGAATAAGAAGAAAAAGAAAAAAAAAGAAGTGACTGTTGTTGCCATAGGGGTTTGCTGTTCCAACATATTCATGTTTTGCTGTTGTTATTTGTTGTTTTTTTTCAACCGTAATTGTACGAGCCATGTTGAATGCCTACGTACTCGGACTTTGGTGAACTGGCGCAGGTACAGAATACAGGAACTTGATACGATTATTCAATAAAGATCAACGACTTGTTTAGAGAAACAGGAGCGTTTGGGACAAACATAATCAAGTACAGATTCTTCCAGGGGATAAGGAATGAACAGAAAGCTGCAGAAGGATATAAAAAAGGGACAAACGAAATAAATGGGACATTTAAAAAGGATATAACATTCTTTTAAAAACGCTACTATAGAGAAAAGTTAAAAGCAAGCGAACAAGATGCCGTTGTCGAGTATAACCCAAAGCGATAAACAAACAACGATGTAAGAGTGTTCATCTTCTTCTTCTATTCTTCTTCACTTCCTCTTTTACCGCTGTGGGTGTCGAGGGAGATATAAGGTTCTGTTTCTAGCTCTTCTGGCTGCCTCGACCATAGGCACATCGTGCTGTTGTAGAGTTTCTCTGATGTTATCTTTCCTTCTTGTTCTTGGTCTACCCCGTGCTCTACGTCCTTTTTCTCTTTCCATGTATGCTTTATATGGTATGGTGTCACAAGGCATTCTCTCTAAGTGGGCAAACCATTTCACTTGCTGTCTTTGTATGTAATCCAGAATTGGTTTTGTGCCGACTTGTTCTCTTATGATCTAATTCCTGATCTTATCTCTTATGGTCACTCCTACAGACCTTCTCAGACATCTCATTTCCGTGGTTACTAATTTTCTTTTATGGTTTGTTGTGAGTGACCATGTGTGGCACTGGTAGCACAGAGTTGGAATAAATATGTTTTGAATAAGATGTCTCTTTGTGCTGATTGGGATTGTCTTATGCTGTAAGAGGGGGGCTAGCTGTCCCAATACTCGGTTTGCTTTACTGCATCTAATGTCAATTTCTTTATCCAATTTCCCATCTTCGGTAAATGTAGTTACCAGATATTTAAACTCAGGTGCCTGTTTAATGTCTTTGTATTCTATTGCTATGTTTAGATCTGTCTTCTTTTTTCCTATTGACATTACTTCTGTCTTTTCAGTGTTGATTCTCATATTATTTGTTTTACATTCTTCATTCATGGATGTTAGATGTTGTTGCAATTTCATGGCTGTATCTGCTATCAAGGCCTGGTCATCTGCAAAGAGTAATTCGTTGATCTTACTAAGATCTTCATTCATGGGCTTGGCATTCTTGCATATACTGTCGATGTAGGTGATAAACAGCAGTGGTGATAAGACACACCCCTTCCTTACTCCAGATGTCACTGTGAAAGGATGAGATGTTCCCTGATTTGTTCTAACTACACTTCTACAATCCCTGTATAAACTTTTGCACACTTCGATGAGGTGTTCGCTTACTCCATATCTTGCCATTATTTTCCATAGTAATTGTCTGTCGACTCTGTCAAATGCTTTCTCCTGGTCTACGAATGCCACAAATAAGTTCTTATTGTATTCAATGTTCTTTTCTATTAACTGTTTAAGTGTGAAGATTGCATCTGTGCAGCTTCTATTTCTCCTAAATCCCATCTGTTCTTCTGCCAGCCGTGGTTCTATCACTGGTCTCAGTCTTGTTTCTATTATCTTGGCATACATTTTGCCAACATGGCTTAAAAGAGAGATGCCTCGATATTGACCGCATTCTCGTTTGCTTCCTTTGTTCTTCCACAATGGTATAACTATTGCATGTTGCCAATCAATAGGGGCCGTTTGTTGTACCCATGCTGCATTGAATATTCTGTGAAGCCATCTGATGCTGCTTTCACCTGCTGCTTGAATTATTTCTGTTGGTTATCTATCAGCTCCTGGTGCTTTATATTTGGGAGACTGTTTAATGACTTTTTCTATTTCATCAATTAGTATGTGTGGTTTTAACACTGTTGCTCTGTGCTCTTCAGTTGTTCTTTCCTGATGATCTCCTAGAGGATTAAAGAGCTCATTGAAGTATTCCCTCCATCTTTCTGCTATCTCGGGTGGATCTATCAATGGCCTTCCTGTCTTATCATTAATTATTTCAGTGGGGTTGTAGCTCTCATCTCTTTTCGGCATATTTTTAACTACTTTGAAAAATTTTCTGCTGGCTGTTTTCTCATTTTCTGCTAGTGACTCACCGAAACGTTCCCAGGATGCTTGTTTTGCTTTCTTGACACTCCTGTTGGTTTCTCTCCTTTGCAGTCTATAGTTTATATAATCTTCTTCTTTCTTTGATTTTATCCACTGTTTATATAAGTCTTTTTTCTTTCTTATTGCTTCTTTTACTTCTTCGCACCACCAAGGTGAATATTTGTTGTATCCCCGTCTGTTTCCACTCTTCCGTTTTCCACATAATTCTTCTGCAATACTAAGCATAGTGTTTTTATATATACTCCATTCTTCCTCAATATTGCCAACTACATGTGTAAGTTGTTTGAATGCTGTCTCTACTTTCTGTTGTAACTGTTCTTTTACTCCTTCCTGTTTCAGATTTGCTATCTTGATGAGATCCTTGTTTTTGTTTAATTTCTTTCTGTGTTTCTTTAATGTAAGATGTTTTGCTGTTAACACAACTATTCTATGGTCAGTGTCACATAGACCATGAGGGATTGCCCTAGAATCAAGAATTCTCCTTCTTCCTTGAACTCTGGTAAGTATAAAGTCAATCTGGCTCTTGATGGAGACATCATTCCATTTGTACCAAGTGTAAAGTTGTGAATCTCTATGGTCAAAGAATGTGTTCGTAATAAAAAGATTGTGCTGGCTGCATAGATCCAATATTCTTTGACCATTTCCATTTCTAGCACTGTTCTTAGCTGCACATGGACCTAAAAACTGTTCGTATTCTCTTCTGTTATTTCCTACCCTCCCTTTGAAGTCACCCATTACATATAGAGTGTTCATACACAGTGAAATTCTTTTATTCTTCATCTTCACATTCACTAGCTGTAAACTCCGGCGGAAAGTTCTGGTTGTTCGTCCACTTCTGGACTGTAGTCCTGTTCCAGAACTTGAGTGTTGAGTGCGCATTCGTTTTAACAGGTCTGACTAATTTGTATGCAGACTATTGGTTCCTTGCCTCTCAGGCGGATGCACGCCGACTTCGAAGGAAGCTCCAAATTAGTCGACTCCCACGACCTGCTTTTAGGTAGGCAATGGGTCTATTCTTGTTTTCCCTATAATAGGGCCCCGGAACCCGCACGGGGATTGAATGGGTGAAATACTGACACTGTTCTAGATTATTGAAGCCAACTTTCATTGTGGCACCGGCACCCAAGTGATTGATTGAATACGGGACATGACACAATCATGGGGAAAAATCCAGATTGTTCATAAAAAGTAAAAGTGAAGGAACCTTTTCCACATCTTCAGGCGTGCTGGGCTTATAGGGCTAGGCCTATGTCTTTTAGACCATAGGCACTTGGTGGGTGATGTTGTCAGCATCTCCGGTCGCCTTTACTTCCCAGGACTGTGGTACGCACTCAAGGCTGGATCGATCTGAAAGCTTCTGATCATCAGCTGAACGTCTAGCCGCTACACCACGGCGACACCCAGAGTGTTCATACTTGCTCTTTATTCAACATTTCAATGTGTGCGTTCTTATTTGTCGTTCAACAGTTTACCATGTCTGCCCTTGCGTGTCGCTGAACAGATCTAAATGGTCGTTCTTGTCTCAGGTTCACCATTTCAACAGGCCGCTTCCTGATTCTTGTTCATCTGTTCAGCATGCTCCTTCTCGACTCGTGTTCATTTGTTCAAAATGTCCTTTCTTTACTCTTGTTTATCTGTTCAACATGATCCTTCTTGACTCTTGTTTATCTGTTCAACATGTCTCTTCTTTCCTCTTGTTCATCTGTTCAACATGCCCCTTCTTGCATCTTGTTAATTTGTTCAACATGCCCCTTTTTGCATCTTGTTCATCTGTTCAACATGCCCCTTCTTGCTTTTTGTTCATCTGTTCAACATGCCCTTTCTTGCCTCTTGTTCATCTGTTCAACATGCTCCTTCTTGACTCTTGTTTATCTGTTCAACATGTCTCTTCTTGCCTCTTGTTCATCTGTTCAACATGCCCCTTCTTGCATCTTGTTCATTTGTTCAACATGCCCCTTCTTGCATCTTGTTCATTTGTTCGACATGCTCCTTCTTGAATCTTGTTTATCTGTTCAACATGTCTCTTCTTGACTCTTGTTCATCTGCTAAACATGCTTCTTCTTGCCTCTTGTTCATCTGTTCAACATGCTTCTTCTTGCCTCTTGTTCGTCTGTTCAACATGCCCCATGGAGAGCCTCTTCTTCTTTTGTTCAACATACCTCCTTTTGCCTCTTGTTCATCTGTTTAACATGTCTCTTCTTGCCACTTGTTCATCTGTTCAACATGCCCCTTCGTGCCTCCTGTTCTTTTGTTCAACGCGCTTCTTCTTGCATCTTGTTCATCTGTTCAGCACGCCTCTTATTGCTTTTTGTTCACCAGTTCAACATGCCCCTTCTAGCCTCTTGTTTATCTGTTCAAAAGCGAATCGGTGAGACTGTTGTGACCTTACTTCGAACTGACTCAAGTTACCGCAAACATGTCACTTGAAATAATGCAATCATCATCCGGTTGGATGCTTCCAGGGGAACAAAGTACCCCACTGCACTGGAACCCACAGAGTCATTGGAATAAAGACAGAGACGCACAAACATAAACGAATAAAGGAATGTGGTCATGAGATTAGGGGTCACATGCAGTGCGCTGTGCGGGATACGAAAGGGTAGGACGACTTAGCACAAGCTGAGTATGGTCACATGCTGCACTAGATACAGAAAAAGATTAAGAAAGAAAAGACGGAAATAAAAAAATAAAAAAATAAAAAAAAAGAGCGGCAAAAAAAAAAAAAAAAAAAAAAAAAAAAGGAAAGACAGGAAGGAAGGGAGAAATAAAAATTAGAAATATATAAAAGAGAAAAGAAGAAGAAAAAGACGGAGGAGAAAGAGGGGAAAAGAAGAAGAAGAAGAAGAAGAAGAAGAAGAAGAAGAAGAAGAAGAAGAAGAAGAAGAAGAGAGAAGAAGAAGAAGAAAGAAGAAGAAGAAGAAGAAGAAGAGAAGAAGACGCAAGAAGAAGAAGAAGAAGAAGAAGAAGAAGAAGAAGAAAAAGAAGAAGAAGAAGAAGAAGAAGAAGAAGAAGAAGAAGAAGAAGAAGAAGATGAAGAAGAAGAAGAAGAAGAAGAAGCCATCCAACCATAACCAAATACCTAACTATCCAACAAGTTAACTACAACCAATCAACTACCCAATAAACCAACCATAACTGACCGTCACCCAACCAACAACTTAACATCACCAGCGATCCACCCAGAGAAAATCATTCAACCATAACCAACAGCATAACCAAAAAAAAAACCAAAAAAAATATGTGAATCAAGTTTAAGGTGTGACCATTGTAACATTATGTTGTCTCTCTGTTTAAACACAGGATGCTCGAATACTACCTGTACATCTTGGATAACCTGGCTGCAGACAGAGGAGGCAAAACAGTCAGAGGCATCCTCGGGGAATTTCAGAAGAGGCTGGCTGATAAAGAAGGTGAGTACGTGTTATTGTCGTACTGACGATAATGCTGAGGTTGCTGCTGTTGATGATCATGATAATAAATGATAATAACAATGTTGATAATGGGAATTAAAGCAATACTTGTTATATCTAAAGAGGATATTTTACTGCGATCTGCAGCAAGGTAAAAGACCCTATGGCGGTTATAAAGACATTCGAAACTATGGATCTTATTCGTCTTAATAATGTTTACCGGCTGTAAACTCTGACACAAAGATCTGGTTGTTCGTCCACTTCTGGACTGTAATTTTTTTTTCTTGTTCAGAAATTGATTTTGGTTTGTAGATCCCTTTTACACATCTCGCTTATCTGTGTGCAGGCTGTTGATTCCTCGTATCTCAGGTCGATGCACTCAAATTTTCGAAGGAAACACTTCTAATTGTCGAATTTTACGACCCGCCAGTTTTGGGCCGGATTCCCCACTTCCCCTCACCAGTAAGGCACCAGAACCGACACGGGAATAACCCTCAAAATAAGTCATTCAGCAGGAACAACACAGAAACATGGAAGACTGATACCTACGACGCATCTGAATGATGTACAGTCTCAAACATGGTGCATGGCTTTGCTAGGCAGTAGAGGTTGCACTGGCAGAGAACGGAGACAAGCCAGAGAGTGCAGTGTAGCAAACCACTTCCTAACCAGGGCTGCCGAAGTTGGTACTATGGTACACATTTGGTACTATTTTACCCTTGCCGAGCAAAACTGAACTTTTAATACTACCCCCGATGTTCTGGTACTTTTTGAAAATTTTGCATCAATAATTTTTTGTTGTTGTTGCTTATGAATTCTATAAAAAAAAAAAAAAAAACTGTGATTGGGAGTGTACTGAAAATAAGCGTGTTAGAATTGTTGATGCAAACATAACATTTTACTTGAGTGGTCAAGTGTGTTTCGTGTGTTTCTTGTTAACCAAGAAAGACAAAACAGCAGTAAAACAAACGGCAGAAGTAACTGGGTGTACAAAATCTGCAGGTTTAGAGAGTTTCCTCTCTCATTAACAAAAATAGTATTAACAAAAAAAAAAATAACCACAATGCCACCAAAGTTATTGCTCGGGGAAAACTGCACCAGCTGGAAGCCGCTACAACAGCTTTATAACAAAGTAAGAGAAATATTGATACAGCCTTTGTGTAATGGACGCAAGATTTCAAATATGATCAACCACATGATAAGCTAGTTATATAT